GAGACAAAGAGTGAGAGGGAAAGTGAGAATCACCCCCCAGGGGGATGGACACACTGCAGTCCCTTCTACTCCATTCTCCTCTCAGGATTTTGGGCATGCACATACATGGTCCTGGCTCGTTTTCCAAGCTGCTAGGTCTGAGACTTGAACCTCACACTTGGCCGTGTGGTATCCAGCCGTCTTAACCACCAGGCCCTCTATATAACTTTTGTAGCTTTAATTGAGTTAAGGACATGTTCGAGACCACTGCAGTGGCAATGAACTCTCAATATGTCCAGCACCACGTTTTAAAAGGTGACTCATCCAGTGAACTCGTACAGGGTTATGCAGGCTATGCTCTACCATGTATTGTTGTTTTGGTGAGCTAAGAATGTTTTTTTACATTTTTAAAGAATTTGAAAGGAAAAACAAAAATATGTGACAGAGGTGACATGCAGCCAGCAAAGCCTAAGATATTTATTGTCTCACAGGAAAACTTTGTTGAATGCATCTCTAGACATATACCTGATTTGCCTAGCATTATTACTGCTCATTTGATAGGAGAAATTATCTGTTTCCCTGACCGATTTAATAGGTTCTCCCGCAGACTGGTGACTGTTCCCTTTCTTGAAAAAGAATTGCTAGGTCTGGCTTCAGAAGAAGTTTGAGTGACATGTAAATCTCTTTCAGGCTCTTTGGCACTTGGCAGTATCTCACACAGATAACCAGATACAAATGAGCTGTTTCTTTCCATTAGAATCCTTCATCAGTGGTCTGTTGGGATTGCACATCTGGCCAAGTTAGATGTCATTCAGAACCAGGCTCTTGGCATATTTCAAGAATGTTAATTGCTAAGTGACGGCTGAAGCAGAAGGGCTTAATAACGTCCTTACGTTGCCTTAAATGTACATGGGCCTAGAATTTTAGAATTGGAAAAGGTCTTAGAGATCATCAAGTGTAGCACGGTTCTTAAGAAAATGGGTTGTGGGGCCAGACTGCATGACTCTTCTACCTAATCCTCTCTGTCTCAGTTTCTTCACCTTTAAAGTGGGGATAATAATAGTACCTATTCACTGGGTTTCATGAGTATGAAATATATTAGCACTTGAGTGTCAGTGTTAACATTGTAAATGCTTACGAACGTTATTCTTGTTTGTAGTGTTGTTTTTTTAATTGCTTTTATTAGTTTTAATTTCATCTCAATTTACAGTTAAAGAAACTGGGGCCTAGAGGACTTAAATAATTTTCCTGATAAACATGGCAACAGGGTGAATGAAAACTCAGCGTATGGGCTTTCAGTTGAATATTTTTTCCCTGTTATGATGTGTTGCCTTTAGCTGTATGCTAGTGGATATGGATGATTTTTGAATAGAAAAAAATGTTTGGCAGCTTTTTGCATAATATGAGAAAAGTTAAGTAGAACATCATTAATCATTTCTCCTGAGAATCTTACATCTATTTCCAGTGTCTTTTATTATATGGATTTTGTAGCTAGTTTATAGGACTATCTTCCTGTTTCTGTCTTCCCCTCATCTTCCCCCATGATATGTAGATTTTTTTCTCATCTCTCTCTGTCTCTCTCTCTTTTTCTCTATCTTTTAAGCTTGCAGTAGGGCACATGTGCTCACTGGAGAGAGATGACAGAGAGACAGAGAGAAAGCGAGAAATCAACCCTCTAGGAGGATTGGCTATGCTACAATCTCTCCTCCTTTTTTTTTTCCCTCAGGGTTTTGGACACACAAGTACACACACTCAGATTGATTTTCAAACCAAAGGGCCTGGAGCTCGAACCATGGTTGCCCATGTGGGGAGTCTAGCATCTTAGTCACTACACCACCCGCTGGCCCCACATCCTTTAATTTTCAGCCTATTTATGTTTTTGTTTTTAGAGTGGGGCTCTTGTAGACAGCATTTAGTGAATTCAAAACCAAAATCCATTCTGCTGATCTCTACCTTTTAGTTGAAATATTTAATACATTTATACTTAATGTTATTACAGATATAGAAAAGCTTGTGCCATTTGCTTTTTGTTTTCTTATATCCTTTGTCTTCTATCATTTTTATTCATTTTTTCATAATTACCTTCTTTTGTGTTAGGTAAATATTTTCTCATTAAACATTTTGATTTGTTCTTTTTTCCTTTCTTTTTTTAAATTTTAGATTTTTGTTTTTTAATTCATTATAACATACATGTGCACAAGCACATGTAGAATGGAGAAACACCCTCTATAGCATCTCGTTATACCATGATTCCCTTCCTATATCCCTTTAACTTGTCAGGATCTTGGGTATACACATATGTGCACTGGCATGTTTTAGGTTGGCTGAGCTGGAAATTCAAACCTATCATTGGTCAAAATGGCTTCTAGCACTCTCTTTTGGTACTCTCTTGACTCTGCCAAGAGGTTGAGCTTTATTTCTTTTACTATTTATCTTTTAGTAATTTCTTCGTGGTTGCTTTTGGGACTATTTATAATTAACATCTTAATTTACAGTAATCTAGTTCAAATTAATACCAACTTAGTTTTAAAACTATAAAAAAGTTGCAGTTATATAGTTTTGTCCCCCCACCTTTATGTTATTATACAGATTACATTTTTATAATTCTATACCCATCAGTGTATGTTTATAATGATTGTTTCATGTATTTGTCTGATTGATTGATTAGATACTAAACCCATCAGACATTCTTAGGATAAATGGTTAATGATATGTTATTGATTTATCTTTTAATGCATTAGTGGATCAATTTGATAATGTTTTGCTAAGACTTTTTGTGTGTCTCTGTTCATGAGGGATGTTGGTCTATAATTGTGTGCGTGTATGAGAGAAAGAAAGAGAGAGGGTTATTTGTCAAGTGTTGGTATCAGTAATGCTGGCCTTATGAACTGAGAATTATTATTTCTCTGTTTTCTGAAGAGATTTATATACGGTTAGTGTTCTTTCCTAAGTGTTTAATAAAATTCATCAGTGTAGCCATCTGGATGTGGACCACATTTTTTGTGGGCAGAATTTCAATGAATTATTTCTTTAAAAAGGGCTACTCAGGGCCAGCCGGTAGTATGTGGTAAAGATGGTTGGATCCTACAAAGCCAGCAGCATGATTTAAGTCCTAGACCCACTGGCTTGAGAAACACACCAGTCTGTGCATGCCCAAAATCCCAAGAGGAGAATGGAGGAGAAGGGATTGCGGCGTGACCATCCCCCCTGGGGGGTGATTTCTCGCCTTCTGTCTCTATGTCTCTCTCTCTCTGTCTGGCAAGTGCATGCGCCCTATAGCAAAAAACCTCTCAAAAAAAAAAGGGCTACTCAGGGCCAGCCGGTAGTATGTGGTAAAGATGGTTGGATCCTACAAAGCCAGCAGCATGATTTAAGTCCTAGACCCACTGGCTTGAGAAACACACCAGTCTGTGCATGCCCAAAATCCCAAGAGGAGAATGGAAGAGAAGGGATTGAGTTTTGCTATCCCCCGAGGGGGTGCTTTCTTACTTCCCCCGCCTCTCTCTGTCTCTCTCCTGTAAGTGCACATGCCCTTTAGCAAAGGTAAAAAAGGCAGGGTGGGAAGGACTATTTAGTTGTTGTTTCTTAGTTTGTCAGTTTTGGTAATTTGTATTTTTTTCAAGGAATTTTTCTAATTAATCTAAGCCATCAAATTTATTTATCTTAGGTTGTTCATAATATTCTCCTAATATTTGTTTAATGTGTATGATTATATAACTTTAAAAACACTTTCTACTAGGAGTATAGAAAATATGTAGTTTTTATTACACACCTTTCATTTTACAAATAATTCTTTTAATTCCTGCAAAACAATTTGTGAGTTAAGACACTGCTTTTATTTCCATGTTACAGTCGAAGACACCACAGTTAAACTAAGAGAGCTTATCCCTTGCTTAAGGTTATAGAGTTAGTGCATTATGGACTTCAACTGGAGTTCTGATGTTCTGGGTCCACATTCTTTTCTTCTTAATTGCTGTTTACTTTGCTTTTCTTATCAATTTTGTCCTCTTATGGAATTGTGTTATATTTATTTCTTTCCTTTGTACTATTGAGTGGAAATATTTTTTTTTTTGAGTATTCCTAATTAAAACTTGGAATGCCTTTTTCCCCATAAAAGACTAGACATAGTTGAAATACTATTGTTAATACTCTTCTTTGGTCACATAATATGTTAAAAACACTTTTGGAGCTTCTCTGGGAAGTTCACCACAATTTATAATGTAAAACATCGTTTCTGTGAGAAACTGAGAAGAATTTTTTTTAAAGGTGATTGTTGTTGCTGTCATTATTGTTATTATTATTATTATTTTTATATTTCTGCCATAAGATGTGTGTGCTCTTTAGAAAGTGAGAAATCACTTTCTGGAAAGTAAGAAATCACCCTCCAGGGGGGATGGCCACCCACAATCATTTTTCCTCATTCTTCTCTTGGTACTTTGGGCATGCACACACATGTGCCCAGTGTGATTTTTCAAGCCACTGGGTCCAAGACTTGAACCATGTGGTCAGTCATGAAGGAATCTAGCACTTTAGCCTCCATGCCAACTGCTGGCCTGAAGAGAAGAATTTTCTTTTAAATTCACTTGCCTCAAAAGTTAGGTTTCAATTATATGGAAACTATACTTTTTGGAATCTCTAGGGCTCTAAATTTATTCAGGTGTTTATAAATCTTTTTTTGTTTATTTGTTTGTTTTTGTCACAGGGTACATGCACTCACCAGAGTCAGTGAGAGGGAAAGTGAGACATCACAAACTCCCCCAGGGGGGATGACCACACCACAATCCCTGCTTCTCCTTTCTCCTCCTGGATTTTGGGTGCATAAACATATGCCCCAGTTTTATTTTTCAAGCTACTTGGTCTGGGTCTCAAACTACAGTCAGTCATATGAGAGTCTTGCACCTTAACCACTGCACCACCCGCTAGCCCTCAAAGTCATATTTTAAAAAGACTAATGTGATTAATTTGTGCACAGATTTTTGTTTTGCTTAGTTTTGATTAATTTGTTAATTAATGTCTTTCAGGGGTATTCAAATGCTCAGAAGAATATTCTTCTTCAGGTTGATCAAAACTGTGTTCGCAATTCTTATGATGTCTTCTCTCTGCTACGGTAAGAAACTACGTAGAGTCTACCTGGACTTTCTAATAAATCTTCCTCACTTTGAGTTGGTGACATTTCTATGTAAGGAAATGTATGAGAGCTTTAGAAGCTGTTATTCAGGCTTAGCATTTTTTAGTGAAAGCTTCATAAATTTTGTAGCTATAGTAATTTAAGTTTGTCTAAGAGATGAAGACTTTAGAACACCATCTCTTTTCCCTGGACAGTGGGAGAGAATGGTTGGAAGCCAGGGATCTTAAAATAGGGACTTAATCTATTTTCTGATCTTCTACACGCTAAAGTGCAGCAACCCCAGGTGCAAAATGTTGACTTACCAAAGTCTTAACAAGCACAGTAATACTAGAAGAGCCCTTTACTGTCCAAACATGGCTTAGAGTTTTGACCTGCTGTTCATCTGAAAAGAATCACATTTGGCAAGCCAAAGGGGCTTTGTATGAGTTCAGTGCTCAGAGGCTTGTATATTTTCATAATATCTCATCTTAATTTTGAAACATTTGAAAATTTTGCTTTACATTTTTAATGTGGTGGATTATCAAAGACATTTTCCCAGGAGGCTGGATACCAAAATAAATGCCATTCAAATAAAGTTAACAGTGACACTCAATCTATGTTCCCCCTACCCAGACAGGGTTGTTCATTGAAATTTGATTTTGGCAGTGTTTTCCTAATGTTTTCATAACACATCATAAATTTCAGACCATTATGGATCCTCTATATATCTACTAGCGGAAGAGCCTAGAAGGATGATTGGAAAAATGGTTATTTTATAAACATAAAATTGGCCTTTCCCTTGTGAAACTTAAATCTCATTATAAATGCTATACAGTTTGGTCACATAGATTGTATAAATTACTCTTTTAAAAATTTTTTACTTTTTTTCTTTGAGCAGCTTTTGTGCTATAGGGTGCATACACTCACCAGAAAGACAGAGAGACAGAAAGTGAAAAATCACCCCCCCCCGGGGGGTGGATGGCCACGCCGCAATCCCTTCTCCTCCATTTTCCTCTCGGGATCTTGGGCCTGCATGCACATGTGCCCAGTGTGAGTTTAAGCCACCGGATCCAGGACTCGAACCGCGGTCGACTACCTGGGAGTCCAGTGACATAGCCATTATGCCAACCGCTGGTCCTATAAATTATTCTTTAAATGTCCATGATTTTGACTAAAATAACCACATACACTCGATGACATTTTTTCTTATCTGTGAGTTTGACTACTCAGGGTGTATATCAGAACAGAACAGGAGTTAGTAATTAGAGGGTGGAGATGGAAAGTGGTATGGTCAAAATTATACAAATTTCTTTTTTTTTGAGAGGTTTTTCACTACAGGGCGCGTGTGCTCGCCAGACAGAGAGAGACATAGAGACAGAAAGCGAGAAATCACCCCCCAGGGGGGATGGTCACACCGCAATCCCTTCTCCTCCATTCTCCTCTCGGGATCTTGGGCACGCATGCACACACGCCCAGCATGAGTTTTAAGCCACCGGCTCCGGGACACGAACCGCAGTCGACTACGTGGGAGTCCAGCGACATAGCCATTACGCTAACTGCTGGTTCCCCAGAATTATACAAATTTTTGAGCCTATTCTTTGGGACACATTGAGTTTTAAGTACTGAAAAGAGAAATGTCTGGAAATAGTTTGAAATGTGAGTAAGCCACTAATATTCCCTGACCTCTGTTTCCCTCAAAAACATGAGTTATAGACCTATAGACATAATTATCTTAAAGATATTTTCTAAGTATGAGTTTGTGTGATCTTGTAAGAGCAGCCAATAGAATTAAAAGAAAAAATGCTAAGGCAGAGAGAAGTAAAGGACTGGGGATAGTGTAGCAGCATAGAAACTAAAAGAGGAGGGCCAGTGGGTGGCGTGGTGATTGGGGTGGTGCACTCCCACATGGCTGACCATGGTTGGATTCCCAGACCTGGTGATTGGCGTTCTTGCTTTCCCTTTTTCTGTCTCTCTCTGATGAGTGCATGTGTCCTGAAACAAATTGAAAAATAATAATAATGATGATAAATAAAATGAAATAAATACGTTTTTAAAAAAGATAAGAAAGGAAACTAAAAGAAGATAGTTCTTAGGAGTACTGAGAGCTTCATGATGATCCAGGAAAAGGGACTGAAGGAAGAGTCTTGGATCTTGCCCATGGTATAATAGAGAATGCTTTGATTAACCTGACCTTGCCTTTAATTATCCCCGAAGTATCTTAATTCTTTAACCTCTCTGATTCTTCTAAAAGGTGGAAGCAGTGACGTTACAACATTGTGTTGGTTACAAGCATTTTCACATTGATTATCCTGTTATCTTGGAAGCTTTCTATGCTCACACAGGGATTATAGCCTTTTTCTTAGGGGCAGCAACTGAGGTCAAGAGGGAGAAATATTTATCTGTTTGAGGGCACACAACAAGTAAGAGCCCACCTGAGTTTGGTGTGAAGGTTTTCTGACAGGCACATTTTATCAATCCGTTTCATTGTCTCCCTGTCCTGTACCAGTGGCTGTAAGGGGCATATGGCCTAATGATTGAGGACAGTTTCTGAGAAGCACAGGGCCCTCCATAAATGCATCAGGCTAATTTGGTAGTAGTTTCATTATTTAACATTGATCTTACAGTGATTTGATTCCTGAAGGTTTCATTTCTAGGGTACCTTCCAGAGTCCTTGTGTGTCAGTAATTCGAGCTGCCCGTTAATGGTTTCCTCATCACCATTGTGTAATTCGTGTGTAGGTAATATCACGAGTACACTTCTTCTGAACTAGATCAAGTGTGTGTTCATCCACCAAGTTATCTGAACCCTGGGAGTTCCTCTGGAACTCACAACTTTAACTTGGACTTGTCAAAGTTACTGAGTAAAAAGGAACTTCCTGTGATGGTTCCCTCAGACATGAGTGAAGAGTACCCATCACCTGCTGAATGAAATGCTCCTTTTTCTCCATAGTTTCTGCCGTGATATATGTGAAGTGCTTGCTGGGAAATGTAAGTGTGCCATTGCTCAGCATCCTCTCCAACTTAGCCACCGTAGTGCCTGCAGGCAGTCACATGAAAATATACACCTGTTCTGGGGGCCCGCGGATGGCATGGTGGTTAAGACACTGGCTCTCACGTGGCTAAACCCGTTGTTCAGTCGCTGATCCATGGTTTGAAAGACATGCTATGAGCATGTGCATGTGTGCCCCAAATCCTGAGGAGACTGGAGGAGAAGGGATTACAGTGTGACCATCCTCCCTGGGGAGGATGCACATGCACACATGCACACGTGCCCGGCATGAGTTTAAGCCACCAGGTCCAGGACGCGAACCGCGGTCGACTACATGGGAGTCCAGCAACATAGCCATTACGCTAACTGCTGGTCCCATGAATTTTTATTTCTTAACCCGTGGCAATCTCTGGATTAAGGGTTTGTTTCAGATACACAGATGTCTAACCAGGTGTCACTTTGCTCATGATTTTATATATGTATATATTGGGTCATTGGAAAAGTCATGACATATTTTTCTCTGCAAAATTGTGGTCATGACTTTTCTGTGACCCAATATTTATATTATATTAAATATCTATATATTTAACATAATATAAATATTTAAATAATATATAAAAGTATATATAATTTATAGATAGATAGATAGTAGGAACAGGAGCGTACATGTGAGAGTGATAGAGAGGGAAGGAGAGCGGAATCTCCACAGTCTCATCTCGCAGTGACCCCTTTCTCCAGTCCCCCAGTCTGTCGGCCCTTGGGCACTCGCACGTGTGCTCAGTACGTCTCAGGCTGAGGGTTACAACCCCGGTCGCTGTGCAGATCCAGCTTCTCTTGAACAGGAAATGACTGCACCGTGGAGCAGCCATACTCATTGTTATATCTGATACTTGGGATGTTCACCACAAGGTGTCAATGTTGTTCTTTTAATTGGTATTTGAAACTTCATTTTTAATTTTTTGATGAGAAAAGTGAGAGACTTCAGTGGCATATAAAGGAGTGTTATAAATGACAAATAATCTTTATTTTTAGAATTTGACTTCTAAAAATCTCTCTCTCTTTAGTTTTTGCTGTAGGGCATATGTGCTCACCAGAGAGAGAGACAGAGAGAGAAAATGTGAAAAATTACTCCCCAGGGGGCATGGCCACACTGTGATCCCTTTTCTACCCTTCTCCTCTCAGGGTCTTGGGCACGCAAGCACATATGCCTATTGTGATTTCCAAGCTGCTGGGTCCAGCACTAGAACCGGGCAGTCGGCCATATGGGATCTAGCACCCCAACCTCCACACCATCTGCTAGCCTAAACACTCTATTATTAATCCTCTAGGTTAGAGGCTTATTAGATGACTTTTTATTTATTTATTTATTTTATTTGTCAGAGGGCATATGCATTTGCCAGAGAGAGATAAACAGAAAGAGAGGGAGAGGGAGAAAACACTCCCCCAATGGAACATGGTCATGCCACAGTTCTTTCTCCTCCATTTCTTCATCCTGTTGGGATTTTCTAGTAATCATCTGGTATTTATACTTTCACGTCCTCAAGGAACTTCAGCCCCAGCATACCTCGAGTCACTCACACTCACTGCCTTAATAGTCCTCTTTCTTTCCTTTTCCTTGCCTAGTGGTATTACCACCATTCCAGTCACCCAAGTGATAAGCTTAGTCATTTTGGATGTCGGCGATGTGATTATATATCCTATTGATTCTTGGGTGAGATGTCTCATTGGTCTATACTTCTCTGTTCTCACCTTTATTTTTTATTTATTTATTTTGAAAAGTTTACCTATTTCTTTCGTGAAAATGAGAGACAGAGAGAAGACTCTCAGCAGGGTCTCATGCTGTGCTCCTCCCCTAGTTTTCCCGCCCAGCCAGAAACGTGCCCACACACACCCAGCAAGTACAGATTGACCGAGGAACTGAACCTGTTTCAGCCTGGTTTGAGCAGTGCGCTAACCACTGTACCCGAAGGTGGCCCTTGCCTCTTTTTCCCGACTCCCTAACTAGTCTCCTT